GGAAAGCCTGTTGCAAAAAGGGTAGGAGGGGTCACAGCACTTCCCGGATTGAAGATACTTGGTCTTTTTTTTGGCGAATCAAGAGCCCCAGATGTAAACCACACAAGTCAGGAGGTCGGAACATTGGAATGCGGAGCTCTTCTCGTCAGGATGAGCTTTATAGGTGCTTCGTTGAGAGAACGCAGGCAGTTTAAACTGAAACCTTCCGGGGTAAGGGGTTAAGAGAACACGAGCTTTCGGCAAAGTCTCGGCCCGTCCGGTAAAGTTTAGAAAAATCTGTACAGGTTTATCTCAATTTCAGGTCTGCCGGTGGTGCCGGTGGCCGTGGACCCAAGGTGAGCCCCACCACCATGCAATACCCTGGCCAAAGCAGGGACGTAGCGTTGCTCGTGGCAGGATGATGTTCAAGCCTTCGGCGTGGCGGGAGATGTCCTGGAGCCGAAGGGGGTTGGCTCGGTTCGGCACTTTCGGAGATGAGGGCTCTGGGGATTCACGATGGCAGTAGAGGGGCGCGCTGACGCGTGTACTGCACTCTCAAGGCATTCGTACACGCAGGCCTTAGGAGAATTGGAGCCGGTCCTCCAACTCGGTGGTTTATGATTTAGTGGCGGCTCGGCGAACTTCCGCACACGATTCATCAAGTGATGAACCTGTTCCCCCAGCCAGTTGAGGGCAGTGGTCAGCAGAGAATAAGAACGGCGAGAAGTCATGAAATTCCAGTCCTAAGCTATTGTGCCTGCTGTGGCTTGCGATGCGGCAGCCAAACAACTTCCAGGAGCAGGCTGAGGCAGCTTCGCATGACGAGGCTGAGGGATCTTCGTTGTTAAAAGCTGAGGTTTGGGTGTTTTTCAGGTTTAGGATTTGTTTGCCATACCTATCTCTGCATCTGTTTCCCCCCGGAGCATTGAAGGCTCTTGGTGGCCCCCCCCAGGTTGTTGAGGGTCATGACATGGTTTTGCTCTCATTTCCGTGCAGAGGAGAAGCTGTGGCTCCATTGATGTCCAGACATAAGTGACATAAGGCTCCAGGTCTGTCCAGATCCTCTCCCTTTCTCAAAGCCGCACCACAGAGCTCGTTATAGTGTTATAGCACTTCCCGAAGCTTTTTTCAAAGCCACTTGCAGAGCAGAATTATTAGGGTTCCTCGAAGGGTTCCTAGACAACTTGGCTCTTCTGTGCTCAATATAGGAGTGCCCGACGCTCTACACGTCACCGACCTCTTAGACTTCATAGGGTAATTTGGCGCCATGCAAGGGTTTTAGATCACGACTCACATGTGCAAACTTTGGGAGAGTGGTCATAGTAGGACCTATGTAGAGTCCTAGGGTACATGGGCATGGTGTACCTAATTGTTTTCTCTTTGTGGCACGTGTGTGTGTGTGTCTGTCTGTCAAAAAAGTGCGTGCGTGCGTGCGCGCGCGCGTGTGTGTGTGTGTATGCATGTCGCATGAAGAGACATCGAGATCTACTGTCACACAAAGAAAAAAGAATAAGATCAAGGAGGAGAGAGGCCCAAGCATTTACGGATGGAATGTCTGAAGCAAGTCGGCACCCTCTGGACCTCAACCCTGCCTTGTGCGAGAGTGAGAGTCAAAACCCCTCACTGCCTACATTGTTTGAGCTGCCAGCGTATATGAACCTTCAACTTGTGAGTGCCGAAGCCCTAGCCCAAAAAGCCCAAACCCTCTAAACACAAGCTGGGTACCTGACATCCTGTGTTAGTTATGTGGGTTATTGTGGGTGTCCTTTCTTGGCCTTGTTGTTGTATGGTATCGGATGCTTGTCATGTGCCTGTAGCAACCTCGAAAAGTACCTGCCATGCCTGCCTTGCGAGTGTGTGAGTCGAAACCCTACACTCGCACAGCAAAGAGCACCTCCGAAGAGGACGATGAAGACGAGGGCCCTCCTGGTCCTCCAGAGGATCGACGCCTGCAGTCCTTTACGGGACACGGGCTGCCAGGGCCAGATTCTCAGAAGATGAGCAGCTGTCGACTGAGTTGGGGTAGATGGGGACCGTGTACTTCTATCCGGCTTCGTCCACGAGGTTTAGGGTTTTGGCTTCGAGGCTTCGCTGCCAAAGGGTTTGGGCTTCAAATTGCGACAGCTTTGGCAATATGACTGTATAAATCCAGTGCACTCCCCCCACGAGCCCAGCTTTTGTGGCTGTCATGGCCTCGCTGGCCTGGGGCACACGTTTTCTGACATCAGCGGCTGAGTTAAGGACTCTTCCTGCTGCAGAGCATGCGTGCCCCAAATGAAGCAACCGCTCCCTGTGCCCGGATCTCTAACTAAAGTTGACTACGCGGCATCAAGAAGTCATAGTCATATGAGTCAAACCGTGAAGACTTTGAAAACCCTCGACGAGGTTCGATGCCGACGGAATGCCAGCCCATGGCGCTCGCATGAGGTACCATCGCGAACAGCCGTCGTGATGTTTCTGTGTGTTGTCTTACATCTTCAAGGCAGCACAGATCCTCGCGGGCGTGCCGTGTGCATCAACACATGCATCCCGTGAACACAGAGGTAGCCCCGGGACCCAAACACCGTAAACCTCTTTAAACTTTCTTTAGGCTTCCCTACATAACTCCATATCCCAAGACAGCCCTGCACCTAAAGCCCCTAGTCAGCGAAGCGGACGGGGAAAAAAAGCCACACTACCCTAAGGCCCGAAGTCCGTTTGAACCTGCATCCATCCATGCCCTTGTGCACCTAAACTTCTTTTGCCGTCTAGTTTTCAAACCTCAGGACCCTTTTGAGGCCCGCCAAAACCCTGTTGAACCCTCTAAGAATCACCCGCTTGAGGCCCCAAAGACCCTTTTGAGCCCTTAAAGAAACCCTGTTTGAGGCCCCAAAAGACCCTTCAAAGAACCCAAAAAGATCGAAAACCCGGCAGTTCTCACGAGAGGAGGAGCTGGCGGGAGCTTCCCACCTGGGATGACAGCGGCCTGACTGAGGTTCCCTTCAATGCGCCGTCTTCCGAAGGAGTAGATATAAAATGAACATATGATTACGCATCGTCTTCCATGAAAGTATAATTTACAATGTTCACAAAAAGGTAAAGAGTCTGGAGGGAGTAATTAGGGGCGTCCCGAGCGGACGTGGGATTGCTTGGGATGCGGTCATGTGCTGCTTCTGTTACGCTTTCTCTTTGAGGAAATGGCAGCAACCGTCTTCAGTTCCAAAGGCCACTTTGAGGTGGAGCATGTTCCCGCGGACCCGCCGCACATCTAGAATCATCTAGATGTATGTATATATATATATACACATACATATATGTACATGTGTACATATGCATACATGTGTGTGTATTCGTCTATATATGTATGTACAGGTACCTACTTACGGGCACAAATACACATGCACACACGCGTGCGCGCGCGAACCGATGTCCGGTTGGGGGCGTGGGAAGCACCGCTCGCCCGGACAGGCCCTGGGTCCGATGCCCCGAGATCCAATTGCCAGCTGCAAGCCGGACAGGATCCTTGACCTGGGTTTAGGGTTTAGCTTGTACCTGAGGGTTCGGGTCGATTTGATGATGATGACGATGTTGGTTGTGCTGCTGTGTTCTGGAACTGTCTTAATAGTGGTGAGTTGTTGCTGCTGCCGTGTATTGCTAAATTTGCTGTCGCTGTCTTTGCTGTGCTCATACGTTTCAATACCCGCATTCATCAGCAGCAGCATCATTATGTTGCTCTTGCTGCTGCTGCTGCTGCTGCTTCTTCTTTTGCTGTTCCTGTGGCGGTCGTAGAGGAGGTCGTGGTGGTAGTCGTGCTCGTCGTCGTCTTTGTTCTTGCTCTAGTCGTCTAGCCACTGGCAGTGTTATTATGTATTATTCTTGTTGGCTGCTGCTGCTGCTGCTGCTGCTGCAAGTTTAAGCCCGGCGGCCATACCTTCAGAGGGCTTCGCTTCTTCTTGCAGCATGCTGGGGAATGCGCCCCCGAATTGAAAAGGGGAACGCTGCCAAGGGATTGGCATGCTCGACGGGGCTTGTAAATGGTACTCGAGACAGATGCCATGACCAGGGATGCATATCGTAGTAGAAGGGTACTGGTAGCCTTTGTTTTTTTAAGTAGCAAGTCTCGGTCCATGCAGCACTCCTCAAGCCATGTCCGTCGGACGGGTGGGCCGTGCCGAGGAAGGGCATGAAGGTGATCCACCAGGCCATTCTGGGTCTGGCTTCCTCGCCATCGGGGGCTACGGGAATGGGAGGTTCGCTTCAAAAAGTTTGGATTTTGGGGTTCTTGTGAGGCAGGTAACTGCGATTCGATGGTGGCTCAGGTGTCGACGGTGCACAGGTTGACGGCCAAATTCGCCTCCTTAGCAGACGGAGACTTTCATGCGACTCTTACAGGCCAGCCTCCTTCTCCCAGAGCTGATGCCCAAGCTCCTGACCTTCATGGCAGCGTCCCCGGAGCTTCCAAGAGAGGAGCCCCTGCAGAAGGGGCAAGCCGTTGGCTCCACAGTCTGAGGCCCCATCGGCAACTAGCTGCATCACCAGCAGCTTACCACCCAGCCCGAACCGGTGGGGACGTACTTGATTCCGTAAGATTGCCAAGCGTGCTCCTTCCTGTTTAGTCGTTCGGGGGAGACTTTCATTGCTAGTTGGGCCATTTAATAGGGCAGCCTGTCGCATCTTCCACCATGTGCGAGGTTTGTACTGCCTGTCGGTATCGATGTTGATACTTAAACTTAGACACCAGCTTTCCGCAACCTTCCAGGCATCGTCTTGATACCCGTATCTCCTGACATTCCGAAACTCGAGGCCGTGAAACTCCTGCTGGTGGTTCCGGTGATCATTCTGAGCTGCCTCGGCTTTTGGTGGGGCAATTCAGCTGCAATCCGGAGCATTTTGAGGTACTACAGTGGCCGCAGGGTTTCCTTTGCCACAACATAGCCGCAAACCCTAATTATTGGAAGAGCCCCGGATTTGTCCTGGCTCGGTTTGTACTGTTGTGCAGCTGAAAAACCGCAGTTTTGGTGGCGGGAAATGATCTGCTGACCGACCCCATACCGATGAAGCATGCTCGCCCAATCACAGCACCGAGACTCAGGTAGCGACCTCTACGGAAAGCTTGGGCAAGGCATCCTTAGCACCAGGGCAGGGGGGGGGCCTGCCTGCAATCATGGTTGTCTCTTGACGCTGCACCCAGTGCTGGTCAAAGCAAGGAGGGCAGCAGGGTGGTGGAAGGAGGGACCATGCATCGTCTAGAACCAAAGCCGGAACCATATGAGATGCTGAGAGGTTATGGGCAGCTGGACAACAATCGGGTTCCAGTCGTGGCGCCGCACGTAGAGGCTGGATGCGTGTGTGGCTCATGGCGACATAGACGTGCAGTCAACCATGGAATCGAGATGAATCTGCCTGTGACCTTGCACTACTGTAACTGTCTAGCCGATGCCGGTACGTTTCATGCGCGTCGCCAGAGTGGAAGCGAAGGCTGTCACGGATGTCTCTGCAAATTCTACATTCACATACCGTGGTGTTGTTTCGTTCTGTACCTTGTGCTCTCTCAGTATGATTTCCTTGCCGCTGGTGGAAAGACCCGTAAGCGCAGGCACCGCCTCTCCCAGTGGCAGCTGTCCAGGTCCAGTCAGAGCCAGTATCATGGTGTCAGGTTTGCTTCGACAGTTGCGGTCATTCGCGACAAATCAGAGTCCTGGGTTCATGAGAGAATTGCTGGCTGCTGGCATCCGAAACCAAGGCCAACCCAATCACAAAATGAATCATGCCTCACCTACAGCAGGACCTACAGTTCTTGCGAAAACTGGAAGACACCTCTAGCCCAACTGGCGATGCTTTGAGTCTTTGTGCGCCGAAACCGTAACCTCAGCAGCGATGTAGTTGTGTGCCTTGTCTCTTTAGATCATTCCTTCTCGGTCGTGTCCCCGTAGGAACCAAAGTGCAGGATCCTTGTGTTTATGCTATGTTGTAGGGGGCCTCGGCGCAATATGACAGAGCCAAAGTGAACGGCTCAAGCTGATGACGGTCCGGGGAAGTCACCACAATTTACTGGAGGAGCCTGTGCACCCGCTCTCCCGCGGAGCGGCTTTTTTGCAGGAAAAAGATCGGGGATTGCAGCAAACCCTGCGGAGGCGTCGGGGGTTTCTTTGAACCTGGTGCTGAGGCTACACCAGCTTTGCCCATAGCTCCGAGCGAAACCCCGTGACGAGCTGTCAAGAGGGAGAGGATATGGTCAACCTTCATGAACACATTGCTGTTCATGCAGCAAGCGGTTTTATGTGGAAATGATAACTTCATCGGCCTTATGAATGAAGGCCCGTCCGTATGCGGCAACTCTACTAGAGTAGAGACCCATGACCTGACCAACGAAGCTTCGGAGCTCCTTGCCGAGACAACGTGGCGTGCTCACGGGAGCACGCCGGAGCTCAACAGGCAGATTCTCGAGCAACAAGAGTAAAGCCGTTTGACTTACGAGGCAACAGTCCGCGATTTTGTCTGCCATCGGCCTTCCACCAGCCCAGCCAAACAAAGCAGATGAGCCGCCACCAATCTGCAGAGGCCTGATCTACCAAGCTGCAAACAAAGACAAAGTGTATGCTACCGATGTGTTCTACGATTGGGGTGTTGAGATGTCCATGCACATGACGGATGCAACCGGTAAAGGCCGCCTCCCAAACCAAAGGTGAAGTGGATTTAGCCATACTACGCACGGGCGCTGGAAGTATATTGGCTGAGGTGCATTTGCGAGGAAATCTATGGTGCCTACGCCCCGCAGACAAGCATGCTGCTAGAAGACGACCCCAGGGATGTCGTACTCATCTCCGGCATGTGTCCCTGCAATTCAACCATGCACCCGCAGGGCGACAGAGGGACCGAACGTCCATGAAGCTATCGTGATGCCGTCACGGCGGTGGAGCCAGCAGGGGGTCCAAGAGCGACATCGACCCCACCGTCCCATGCTGCTGGAGGACGAGGAGGCGAGCCAACAGCGGCTCCAGAAAGCAAGGATACCGACGCTTAACCGTCGTGTGCGAGATTTGAAACATCACAGCTTCGGACAACTATTCACGCCTCGCGAATGAAGACGACAGTATTGCGACGTTTGAAATGATTGGGATCCGATGTCATCAGCTCCTCGAGTCTGATGTTGTTTGATCGTTATGCAGCCCTTCGAGTCGCAGAGGCACGAGGCGGATTCTCGATATCTCGGTTCCAGGTGCGCGTGAAGTCTTTGGACCTGCTTTGGAAGTTGGAAGACTTCATGCCAAGATCCCAAGATTGAGAGCGACGCAGCAAGAAGTACAGTATGAAGTCAGAGCAATCTGAAGTTGTTGTGCATGACTTGCCGCTACTGTACTATACGATTGCGTTGTAACTCGTCGCAGGAAGAACTGCGTGTCAAGCAAACCGAAAGGAATGTCCGCTCCCTCGGCTTCTGTGAGCCATTCCTGTCTGATCGGCAGTGCAGAATCACCTTTCGCGTGGAAAAAGATAGGAGACCCTGTGTGGCAGCAGGCGTTTGTATTCTGAGCTGACTTTATCAGGTGTTTCGGAATGCCAAGGGTCTGGCAGCTGCCCCCACAATTTTTCAGGACACGGGGATCGATTGCCGGTAACATGTGCAGGGCAGACCATGCAAAGTTGACCTCAAACTTCACCTGTCGAAGGCCCAGCCTTCAGCGCCAGCAGTGCAGGCATTGAATGGGGAGATGGGGCGCACCTGAATCTAACTTTCAATCTCCACCGAGGCTTAGACTGGTTGCCAACTTCGAACGACATGCATGTGGGATTGATGTGCGCATCCATGTTTGCACACGTCGGTCTGCCTATATAGGGCTCAGATGTGGCTGACCTGACTACACGCATGAGGTATCCATGCGTCTGCATGATTGAAAATTGAACTTTGCCTAGAGTGTGTATTCGCTATGCAAGATATGTAGTTGAGGGTATGGAAGTATGTGTGCGTTTTTAACGTGCTGGGAAGACGGTTTCTTTTATTTCCGGCAGGCTCCCACTGTCGCTGTGGACCGGGCAGAGTGAGATTGAAGCCCGACCTGAAGTCAGGGGGTGGCCTGGGCGCAGACCTTCTGTTCATAGTCCATCCTGCCCCGTACTCCTGACAGTAGCATCAGGCGTTTGCATCTCGAGTCGGCTGAAGCCATGTGGGTGTCCCATTGCAACTTCGGAGTCATTCGGAATTCAAGGAGTTGCGAGTCTAAAACCGCGGCGAGCTTCTGAGCGTGGCTTCTGTTGGAAGCCAGTAGAGTTTGGGCCTTATCCTCGAGTTGCAACCGGGGCCGTATCGCGAGAACGCATCAGCCGAGTGACTCCTGCATTCTCATGTCTGCCTTTCATGATGGAATGTACAGCTTGAGACTATACGGGCCTGCGATGTGTTTGCTTTAGACATCTTTAGACCCCATCTCGAAAGCACGGCTCTTGGCAGGACAGATGTTTCAAAAATCAACATGCTTTCAGGAGGTTTAGGCGCTGGGCGCAGTTTCTCGTAGGCAGCTTTTTGACAGGACTTGCTTTCAGAAGACCAGGAACCGTAGCCCAGAACAGAGACCCCCAAGTAATAGGATCCTGACTGGACTCCATGTGAAGTTCCAGTTGCACTTCGGCTGCTTGCGGCTTGCTTTCTGTCTTCCAGGGCTTGGCCCAGCGGCTGATGCAGTCAAATCATCTACAGAAGTTTGGAGTGTGGGGTTTTGGGGTTCAGGCTTTAGGATTTTGGATAGTGGAGATGCCTAGAACTATAACCCGGTCTTATAGAGACTCAGACTACTTGTCAGACGATCTTCAAGAAGCCGCGTGGGATCTGCACTGTAAGCCTTCTGCACCACACGGGGGGTCACCCTCGCTTTAGCAGAGCCTCACAGACTCTCTCGACTGGCACTGTACAGAGGTCAGTTTACCCGAATATAGGGGTCTGAATACCTTTCTAGAAGGCTAGAATAGTTCGTGTATATAGTAACTATACCCCAAAGCCCTATTCAAAGTCTTATGGCCCCTGTATTCATCTCAAGTCTACGGCAAGCGGCGCCCGAGTTTATCAAGCTTTGAGCGGGCAACGCGGGCGCGCTTGTCCTGTAGGCAGGAGCCGCATTAGAGTCCTAGGTTTAGCCATGCAAAAAGGGGCATTGCGGAGGCGAGAGCTCGCAGTGACTGTCCGGGTTGTCGGGCCGAAGGGCTTTGTCTGGCGTGCACTAAGCCAGGACAGTGTCTTTGGAGCCCGTGCAGTTTCTAGACTCTAGACCTCTCTCTTCGCATGTGAAGCCATACAAGGATAAATAACCGTACCATCATACGCTCTCAGTCTTCGTATTGTTACATATCTATATAGAGTCGTAGAGTTGGAAGCAGCACAGATTTTGGCAATACGAAGCTTCTCGGGACTTCCGGCGTATTCTAAACCCAAGACCAGTCAATAGGAGCTGCTGCATATTCACGTACTGTACCATCCCTCAGACGGATTATGACAGGGATCCTCATGGTATTCACAC